GACCTCGTGTAGCTTTGCGCGAAATTCAAAACAAACAAAAAAGTGTCGAAAAGTGTTTTATAAATTCATTTTTGATTAGAAAATATGGTGTGGTGGTTTATTAAATTGATATATATTAATACAAACTAATTTGCACATGTTAGTTTAAGGGTTACTTAAGCCTTTATTCTTCAAAGTGTACTTTTTTCTCCAAATTCAGAAATTCAATATATCGAAATCTTTATCACATTTAAAAAAAATCAGTATTCATGGAGAATTGAGCTTATCAAGTTTGGCTTAAAGATAAAAAAAAGAATCGCTTAGTGAATGTTATTTTCATGGACAATACTTTAGAATAAATTCTAAGAGCATGATACTGTTAAGAAGTGGTATATTTAATAAAAGTTATTTTACTATTACATTTTACTATTCATTTGTACATGTGGTCATAATGTTGTAACTAGATGAATATACGAATTGTTCGTAAATTAACAAATCGGCAAACAGAAGTAAACAATTTTGTCATTGCAACATGATTTCTGTAATCCCTATATACATATAATCACATCTATATGCAAATTAGCAAGGCCCGTGACAGTCACAGACAATGTAAAGTCGCAGTGAAATGTCATGTATCAGACTTACATTTGACATTGTTTAGCATTCGTAACTAGTGTGATACCTTAGAGGATTGATCGTTTGGGGGAAGGGTAGGTAACAGCCCTTTCCAACGCAAAATATTCATATACTCAAATCATAAAGACAATAATTTCCAATGCGTGTATATCCATTGTACTTAATGATAGAAAACAAAGGAAAATGGATCAACAAAGAGACTTGGCCCATTTAAAAAGGAACCTGCAACTAATCGTATCCTTGCCCTGCGACTTCTTGTGACTGGCGAGAATCCACGATCACAAAAGTTAGTGGCAATAGCCTTCTACGCGTTCGAGGCAACAATACGTGACAAAATATCGAATAATATCTGTTTGAAAGAGCGAAAATATCTCGTGTAGACAACCTGTTTCCACGACATGTCACTTCAAGTGATGCATACAATCAGAAGCTGGAGAATAAAATGGGTATTCATGCTATTTCATTCAAAGAAATATTGGCCTCTAGATATAGTCTTTGTGGATTTCTGTGTGATATGATTTCTGAGACTGGCACTGGGAAATCGTCATCCTATTATACTATGTTGATAATGAAAACTCGTCAAGGAAGAAAGGGGTACTTTGAACATAACAGCCTTACGACAGAGCCTTTTACAGTGGAAACTAGGCTATTTGACTGTAGCAGGGCAGAATGAACGTGATGACGTGGACTGTAATGATGTGGTGAAGCTCCGAAATTGCTTTAATATAAAGTACTCAACGTTTGTATACATCATAGGCAGCTACAACACATATAGGTAATACATAATAACCAGTCACTAGTGAGAGAAAATAGATCAGTTTGTTGTTATCGGTTAAGTAACATTCAAGCAATTTAAAAGTTTTATGAAACAATGAAAGTACAGCAAAAACTAAAGTAACATTCATTTTGGAAAGAAGTTACACATAAAAATGAATTAACTAAAATTTTACTTTATTGGAATTCAATTTTTTGACAAGGAAAGTGATATGCATTACTTGTGAGGATGATTGGTTGTTTGTTTTAATATGTAACCGTTAACCGAATACAGAAGCTTTTTTCTTATACACACAGTTTAGTGAAATTATGGCATGTATGCGCACACTCAGATGTTCATATCTCGTTTAGTTTAATTCTCAATTCCTTTTTATATTACCTGGTACCACTTGAAAATATGAATATATTGAAATGATGAAAACTTACCATTTCTGCTACGATACTTTATCACACATACGATTAATAAAGCCACAAAGACAAGACCACCAACTATGCCGCTGAGGATGATAAGTAAAGGGTTGAGCGTAGCCTTCCAATGGGTATCTGTAGTAGAGTAAAAATAAGTGCTTAATATATATTTTAAAATGTAAAGATATATCGTTGATTACACCTGTGAACTACTTATATAGAAACATGTTCATGTGAGATGTGTATTAGAATCGAGATATAGTCCAAAATATTTAAAGATATATCGTTGATTACACCTGTAAACTACTTATATAGAAACATGTTCATGTGAGATGTGTATTAGAATCGAGAT